TGATAGAAAGAGTCACTGGTTTTTGATACGTCAACACATTCAGCATGTCCTTTTGCATTCGTATCGTTTTTTCATACCACGCTAAATTGTACATGCTCGTTGGAAGACTTAAACTCTGTGAATATTATTCTTACTATTAACATTAAGGTGATACTATTTCGTTCGTTGTATATCTATATGCAAACGATCTACCATGTCCTTCATATTGTCAGCTGGCCACGCGTACATGAAAAGGTACATGAAATAATATATACTGATGACTACGTACATAATTTTCACCATTATTGGTGTATTCTGTTTAGAAATTACACGATCAGTTCGTTGAACGCACAACAGTCTACTTTTAAATGTTACTTACCATGACCACCATGATAGTACATAGAGTCATAAAAAACGTGGCGATTATTATAACGAACAGTACCATATATGGAAAACATGCAAGTACGTCTTCCGCGTATCTGGGGAGAAATACAATCGCTTGCAATGATCGCGTCAATGTACCATTAAGTCCATTGTTTCACGGACTTTTACCAGTAGTTTTGGAAACTAAATAGCACATTCATGCGTGAGAATACATTTCAAGATTATAAAAACCGTGAATTATTATCGTTCGTCTTTGTATCAATTCTTACAGTCTACGAAACAATCTACGTTATTGTGAAGGTAGAAAGTGTTTCAGACTTCTTATTGCCGTGAAATATCTGTACGTAGTTCTCTCATTATGTGTACGAAGTTCCATGGACACGCAAAAAATGTTATCTTTACCTCTTCAGATGTAACTGTTTCCGAATGCATGTGGTCAACGTACGAATATTCGTGTTCTTCTGTATTTCAACGGCTAGGCACTCGTACCTTGCGGCTGTGAACCAAATTAAAAGTCCTCCGAACACGCACAGACACATGTGCGAGCTGCATTGATAACACGCGACGATTTGATGCACCCGTACCATGACACTTATGGACGTGCGATTAGTATCGAATGGGTATTCCGCGTGTATTATGTTGACCAATGAAAACAATATAGGTCCCCACAAATAAATGGACGCCCCGGCGTATGCGCCGATTATGTAGCTGGCGTAGATGACATTGCATTTCGCTAGGTATGTGTTGAAAATCTCTCTTTCGTGTTGCTGCGCCTCTTTCACGCAAACGTACATTTCCTCGACTATGCGCTGCAATTCGTCGTTAAAATATTTTTAGACCAAAGTTTTAGACCAAAGCTGGCTAAAAATTGGCGGCCCACGGGCTCTTGTCTCTACACTTCTCAGGCGCTGTCCCTTTTGTCCTATAAATCGATGCAGTGGGCCGCCAGTTAGCCGGCTTTGATTTTAAACAATTCTTGGCCACTGAATATGGTATCGTTCACGTGTCGTTAGGTGTATCAATTAATTCATGGTTAATTAATTTCTGTTGCGGTTCGAAATGTACCGATCGTGGCTCTGAAGCGATTGAAGTCTATCTACAGCTTTATTAAAGATCTTTCAAAATTCCGAGTGATCCTGATTTTGATGGCCGGAAAATTATTCGTAAAAAGCACGCGTAATGATAGAAATGGAATTAAGAACTTACTTGCAGAGTGTCATGCTTGGTGAAACATATAACTATCTGAATGATACCTTGCGTCGTTAATATCACCTGGCTGAGACACAGCAAGATGGTTTCCATATCGTCGGATCGTACGTACATGGCGTATAACAGTGGCAGAAGCAGAGAGATAATGCTAATTGTCGCGAATAATTGTGCAGTTTTGTAAACGAACAGTTTTTTCCTGCTGCTGCGCGGAGGAAGCGGCCAACAGAACGATAGAGCTATGCTCAGCCGGACGATGTTGATAGCTTTTCCCAGTGTCACTTGTTTCGGCATGATCTCGATGAGATGACTGTCGAACTTATAGAGTCGAACGAATTAGAATGACTGATCTACCTAGCACGATACGCGCAGACGGTTGCAAGCTGCAATCCAGCTACAATTATGGCAGTTATCATAAAATAATAGGACGCACCAGAAGAATTATGATGGAAGCGAGTAATTATGGTCATTGCTGTATTATACTCTCTGTAGGAAGTATTTGGTGGTGTTCTCTCTGTTAACCCGAATAAGTGATACGATAATTATTGTCGCCTGTATTATGCATTACTGGGGTGTTTGATGCTGGATAGACATATAGGAAAGTTATTACGTATTGGGAATTAATATTCAAGTAGGAGAATGTTCTTTGAAAGTGTAGATTGAAGTTTCAAAGTATACCGGGAACGCATATTCAGTCTCTCACGAAATACGAAGCATTATGGTTGGGTAGAAAGAAGAATAAAGTGCACATTCAGGATATATGTCGGTTTCTTTTATTCACGATTCTTCGATATTCTTGTGAAAATAGATATTACTGTCTGTTCACAGCTGTGCAGGGAAACGACGAGAGTATTAATTATGATTGTGCACCAGTTGTGCAGTGGGTTGTGTGCTTTTGTTACGTGTATGCGGTAAGAAATATTTCATGACTGAAATACATTGATATTGTTTCAGTTATATTACTTACAAGAGAAAAAGACACGGTTTTCTGAGTTTCAATTTTTGAAGTGTTTTGTGTCAGTATTTTGCAGTTCTGCAC